ACTATGTTGGGAAGATCTCACACAGGTGAAGGGAAGCAGTGGGGAGGAGGGGAGGGTTAGGTTGAATTTGGGGGGGTGGAAGGATATAATAGATTCTAATAGAATAGTAATATATTGTAACCAGAATAGAAGTTCAAAAGGGGAAGTAAATGTATTTTTAGTATTTTCACTATTGTAATAGCTATTATTATTTCTTATTGGTAGAAGGCAATGTTATCTCAGACTTCTTTGTTTTGCTGTCTGTATAATTTTCTTCCAGTAGTGATGTATGGAAGTGAGAGCTGGACCATAAAGAAGGCTGATCGATGGAGAATGGATGCTTTTGAATTCAGGTGCTGGAGGAGACTCTGGAGAGTCCAATGGACTGCAAGAAGATCAAACCTCTGCATTCTGAAGGAAATCAGCCCTGAGTGCTCACTGGAAGGACAGATCCTGAAGCTGAGGCTCCAAGACTTTGGCCACCTCATGAGAAGAGAAGACTCCCTGGAAAAGACCCTGATGTTGGGGAAGATGGAGGGCGCAAGGAGAAGGGGACGACAGAGGACGAGATGGTGGGACAGTGTTCTCGAAGCTACCAGCATGAGTTTGACCAAACTGTGGGAGGCAGTGGAAGACAGGAGTGCCTGGCATGCTCTGGTCCAGGGGGATATCATAGAACGATAAAAAGCTTTGTTATTTCCTTTTGCAGGCCAGGAAGATTACCCAGCTGACCAGAGGAGCTGGGGCAACTCAGTCATACGGGCCGAGTACAAATAAGAAAATTATTATTGTTATTACTGTGCTAAATTTGGGCCTGGGGTACCCTCGTCATCAGGGTTTGGGGTGAGCTGATCCTTTTGCACAGCTGGGAGATCTGGTGCTTTGGGTTTAATCAACTAAATTATGCAATTAATTAATTAAAGCTCTAGGAGCAGATTTTTTAAAAATGTAATTTAAAAGCATCCTGGTTGACCTAGAAAGTTGTGGTTTTTTCCCCTGCCTGGTGAAAAAAACTTTGCATTCATCTCCCCAAAATCCTGTGAGAAATGGGACACACAACAAAGGCAGAATCAGCCAGTTGCATCCCTTGCCTGGTGGAAGAAGATGCAAGACTGGTGGGATTATAAACAAATCATGACCCATGGTAGGGGTTTATTTATTTGTGCTGGGGCTCAATCCTGGCACTTGCTTCCATTCCAGCAGCAGATATGAGTCCTGGGATGTATGAAAGAGGAGCCGTCCCTGCCTCTGAGCAGGTACAGAGTGTAAGTCGCTCTCACTGAGGATGAGAGGGAGCGTTCACTGCTTTCTAGAAATTTAGTACCTGCCACAATGCAAAATTAGCCCACTGTTGGGTAGAAGCTGCCTAGCTGTGGATTTTTTAAAATAAAGATGAAATAACCCACAAAGTGTGGCTCACAGAAATTCAACAGGCACAGCTCATGACTATAACCATTCTGCTCCCCCCCTCAAGGCTGAAGGCATCCTCCACCTGTTGAATTTCTGCCTGCATAGCTGCTGGCACAACACTGACTTATTTACACTTAGCCAGGACTTTAGGAATCCCTGGAGTCTGGGAATCTCAAACGGCAGATTCAAAGGGAAGGGATCTCTTCTTCTTAATCTCAGTTCTAATTTTCAATATTCCCCAAATGCTAAATCAACAAACCTACTTCCAGGGTTGAGCCGGAGCACACGTCTCCTCCGGACTGAATCCCATAGCCTCATTGTTCCTTTGCTTGCTTGCTTTTGTATATTTATCTATTTAAAGAAATATCTGTATACCGCCCTCTCATGAAATATCACGGCCGGCACAACAATATACGGAACAAAACTCATTAACAGCAGTACAGAGCAAGCTTCAGAACGACCAGCTACTTGGGAACAATCACATTATCTATCCTCTTCTTTCTTGCAAAACACTGCATTTAGATGTGCCCCACCCTCCAAAAAACACCCCCAGCTTTGATTAGAATTGAGAAAAAGAACAACCTTTACCAGTGGCGTAGCGTGGGTTGTCAGCACCCGGGGCAAGGCAAGTAATTTGCGCCCCCTAACCCGCGGATTTGCGCCCCATAACCCGTGGATTTGCGCACCCTAACCCTAACCCCCAGATGTTGCGCCCGGTGCGGCCGGCCCCCCCTGCACCCCCCACGCTACGCCACTGACCTTTACACATTTTAAGCTGGAGATTTTTAAGCAGCCTGAGCACCTGGCTTCTGGTTAAGAAGTCATTAACCCGTTGTCGTGGGAAAGACACGATGAACTGCTAGGGCAGATGAATGGGCCCTTTGAACATGTGCAGAGCGCTGCTTTGTGCAACCCTAAGATCCTATGCAGCCGGGATTAGGGAATGAAGCAGGCATCTTCTGGGGCAGAGAGGGTGCTACTTCCAGATACTTTTGAGTCCTACCCCCCATAACTTTTGTCCCAGCAATTTCTCGGGGCTTGCTGTAGCATTTGCCTTTCCAAATTCCTTAATCTAGACAGCATCTTAAAAAGCAGAGACATCACCTTGCCAACAAAGGTCCATATAGTTAAAGCTATGGTTTTCCCAGTCATGATGTATGGAAGTGAGAGCTGGACCATAAAGAAGGCTGATCGCCGAAGAATGGATGCTTTTGAATTCTGGTGCTGGAGGAGACTCTGGAGAGTCCCATGGACTGCAAGAAGATCCAACCTCTCCATTCTGAAGGAAATCAGCCCTGAGTGCTCACTGGAAGGACAGATCCTGAAGCTGAGGCTCCAAGACTTTGGCCCCCTCATGAGAAGAGAAGACCCCCTGGAAAAGACCCTGATGTTGGGAAAGATGGAGGGCACAAGGAGAAGGGGGCGACAGAGGACGAGATGGTGGGACAGTGTTCTCGAAGCTACCAGCATGAGTTTGACCAAACAGTGGAAGACAGGAGTGCCTGGTGTGCTCTTGTCCAGGGGGTCACGAAGAGTCGGATACGACTAAACAACAGCAACATCCCTTAATCTAGACAGGGACTTTGCTAGCAACTCAGAAGTCCCACCAATTTGCATACCCACACATACACATTTATACATAAATACAGGTTTTTGAGCCAATTAAGCTGGGAAGTGGCTGTGGGTGCCTCGTGCATAGCTGTCAACGTTCCCCTTTTCTTGCGAGGAATCCTATTCGGAATACGGGAATAAAAAAAGGGAAACGTTGACAGCTATGGCCTAGTGGTTGGAGCCAGCCACTCACTTTCAGCCTAACCTCCCTCACAGGACTGCCGTGCAGATGAAATGGGGAGAGGGATACAAGCCACCCTGAGGTCTTTTGCAAAACAGCAGCCCTGCAAGCAAAAGTGGTTTCTTTCTTTAAAAAGCATTTTTTAAAAGACGGGAAGAGCAGTAGACCTAGACAACAGCAACAACAACAACATGGATACTTGTTCCCACCCCGCCCCCCAACAAGATGCCACGGGCAGGATGGTGAATTTCTGCCCTGATGGAGCAGAGTGCCATGGTCGTGGGGGAGGGGGAGTTGGGGTAACTCACCATATTTGCGGAGGTAGCCCCGATGGATCCCCGTGGGGATCTCCGTGGCGCTACTCATCCCGCCGGGAGCCACCCATCAGAGGGCAGCGTGGCGAGGAGGGGGCTGGCACAGGCAGGCAGAGGCTCTGAAAACAAGCCGATGCTGCTCTGATCGTCTAATCCCCGGAGCATCCCTGAAGCAGCATCCCTCTCAGCCAATCAGAGCCCAGCTGGGAGCAGCCTCTTCACCTATCCACGGAAGGCAGGCTGTGGGTATGGAGGGCGGCCTCTCAGTTCAACCAGTCTGGCCACTGGCTGGATTCCGCCTCCGTGTGTTGGACTGGGAGAGACCAGGGATATTGCTGCCTCAATACATGTGTGGGCTGAAGGGGGAGGAGACGGAGCCTTTTCTGTGGTGGCTCCTCGCTTTTGCAAGGCACCCTCACCCTCACTGAGGCACCGGGCAGAGCCATTTCTACTCCCTGCTGCCGGTTCTGCGACTTTTTCCTCTTTTTTACTATTTATTTGATTTATTTCCTTCCTGCTTTCCTCCAAGGAGCTCAAGGTGGCACGCATGGTGCCCCTGCCTCTGTTTTATCCTCACAACAACCCTATGAGGTAAGGGCGGGCTAAGAGGCAGTGATGGGCCCCCAAGGGCACGCCCACTGGTGGGGTTTGAACCCGGGTCTTTCCCGGGTCCTAGTGCCAAGCTTTAAGTTTAACCACTACAACACACTGGCTTTGCCAGCTTGGTTGCTGTTTTAAGGTTTGCTATTAGTTTGCATTATTATTATTATTATTATTATTATTATTATGGCCCCCTGTCAGGGATACTTTAGCTAATATTGCAGGGGCACGTGGGTATCCCTTTCCAATTCTACAATTCCAAGGTTATGATTCCAAATAATAACAATGATGATATTAATTTTATTATTTGAACCCTGCCCATCTGGCTGAGCTGCACCCGTGCAATTTCTTTTCTTTTTCTACTTCTTTCTTCAACCCAGGAACAGCTGGAATAGCTCAGTCGTGGGAGCGTGAGACTATCAACCTCGGGGTCTTGGGTTCGAGTCCCACGTTGGGCAAAAATATTCCTGCATTGCCCGGGGTTGGACTAGATGACCCTCCAGCTGGGTCCCTTCCAACTACGTACTGTATACGATTCTATGAATGAGTCTGCAAGCTTATAAGGAGGGGCTCGGAGCGGGGTCGGGGCAGGACATGGGCAGCCTGAGGATACGGCGGGTGGTCGCTGGGCGACGCCTTCCGCCTCTCGCCTGGGAAATCCACGCGTCGGCGCTCGCGTAACGTCGGAACGGTCTTTGTACACGTGAACGGGGCGCCGCCGAGACCCCTCCCCGCGCCGCCGCTCGCCCTCCTGCACGTGCCTCCCCGCCCGGCCCCGCCCCCGCACATGTCTCCGCGTTCTGTCCCCGCCCCGTCACGTGCCCGCGCACCGGGCTCCTCGCCTCGCACGTGGCTGGCGGAGCCGCCCAGGCGACCCGGGCGCCTGGCAAGAGCCGAGCCCATTGGCTGGCGGGGCCGCCGCTCAGAGCCGAGGGGCGGGGCTACGGCCGCCGCCGCCGCCGCTGCCGCGACCTTTGTGTCGGGGAAGGAAGGAAGGAAGAGCGGGCAGGAGGGCGCAGGTAAAGACCACCCCCCCATCTCCGCCTCGGGTGCGTGGCTCCGGGGAGGGCGCGGGGAAGGGGGCGCCTGGCAGGGGGGAGGAGGACCGCCCCCGCGCCTGGGCCACCATTGCACAGACCCCTCCCGGCAGCATCCTCAATGAGGGCTAGAACCGTCCCGTGTCATGGGCCATGATTTGAGAGGCTCCCTGCTTCAGCATCCTCAATGAGGGCTAGAAGCGTCCCCGTGTTATGGGCCTTAATTTGACAGGCTCCCCCCTTCAGGATCCTCAGTGAGGGCTAGAAGCATCCCCATGTTGCAGGGCCTGATTTGACAGCTCACCTCCAGCATCCTCAATGAGGGCTAGAACCGTCCCGTGTCATGGGCCTTAATTTGACAGGCTCCCCCCTTTAGCATCCTCAATGAGGGCTAGAAGCACCCCCATGTCACGGGCCATGATTTGACAGGCTCCCTGCTTCAGCATCCTCAATGAGGGCTAGAAGCACCCCCATGTCATGGGCCTTAATTTGACAGGCTCCCCCCTTTAGCATCCTCAATGAGGGCTAGAAGCACCACCATGTCATGGGCCGTAATTTGACAGGCTCCCTGCTTCAGCATCCTCAATGAGGGCTAGAAGCACCCCCATGTCATGGGCCATGATTAGATAGGCTAACCCAAATCATCATCCTCAATGGGGGCTAGAAGCACCCCCATGTCATGGGCCGTAATTTGACAGGCTCCCCCTTCAGGATCCTCAATGAGGGCTAGAAGCACCCCCATGTCATGGGCCATAATTTGGCAGGCCCCCCCGCAGCATCCTCAATGAGGGCTAGAATTGTCCCCGTGTCATGGGCCATGATAGATAGGCTCCCCCCATCATCATCCTCAATGGGGCTAGAAGCCCCCCCCCCCATATGTCATGGGCCATGATTTGACAGGCTCCCCCCTTCAGGATCCTCAATGAGGGATAGAAGCACCCCATGTCACGGAGTCTGATTAGACAGTCCCCCTCTCAAAGAGTGTTAGAAGCACCCCATATTACAGGGGCTGATTTGACAGGCTCCCCCTTCAAGCACCCCGTGTTGTGGGCCCTCATTTGGCAGCCTCTCTCCATCCTCAGTGGGGACTAGAGCTACAGGGTCTGGTTTGACACCCGCCCCCCCAGCCCCACGGACTCCCTCCGAAGGTGGTGGGCCTTCCTTCCTTGCCTGCTTTTAAGCAGAGGTTGGGCTGCCATCTGCCAGAGATTCTTCGGCTGCGATTCCTGCAAGGCCCAGGGGTTGGACTAGATGACCCCCAGTTCCCACCCTCATGATTCTATGATTTGCCTTCCTCCATGAGGACTAGGGAGCCCCTTTCATTTGAGTGTCATGAGCTGCCCACCTGCTCCCCTGCTGCTCCCAGTGTGGGGCAGAAAAGGGGGTTTGCACCACTGATGGACAGACCGTTGCCAGGGTCAAATCCCCTCTTAATGTCTCTTGCCTCCCCCAATAATAACAGTTTTCCAAACGACCCCTTCAATTTCATCTTCTGCCCGTCCCTCCTGGATTGAGATGCTGCTGGTGATGCCTCTATTCCCCGTTACCCTAGATGCCCCCACTGCCGTTCAGCTAAATGCCCCCTTTGCCCGCCCTGTTCTCTGGGAGTGGTGGTGAGGGTTTTTTTGGGGGGTGGGTGGGCTCTGTGGTTGTTCCTGGTTATAACCCTGGGAGAAGTGTCCGCTTTGTGGCTCAGGACTGGGGGAACCTCTTAAGGGAGGGGGCAGGTGAGGGCACCCGTTGCGAGGACCCTCAGTGCTGGTGGGCGGAAGCAGGAATCATGGATTTCAAAAAACCTCGTAAAATTGTAGAGTTGGAAGGGACTCCGAGGGGTCATCTAGCCCAACCCGCTGCAATGTAGGTGTCTCAGCTAAATGTCTTATAGAAGCTGCTGTCCTTGTCTCAGGGTGGCTGTGCTCTCCTGCCAACCTGCCTGAAACCCAGGACCCTTCCAGGTCGGTAGAAAAGGATGGAGCTCTGGGGGAAGCTTGTTTCCTGCTGTTCCAGAGGGCAGGACCTGGACCAGTGAATTCAGATTGCAAGAAAGGAGATTCTGTCTAAACATCAAGAAGAACTTTTTGAGGGTAAGAGTTGTTCAGCTGTGGAATGGACTCCCTTGCAACATGAGGGGATATTTGAAGATGGCTCTCCTTTCTCCTCTCAGCCTCTTCTTCTCCAGGCTAAACATACCCAGCTCCTTCAACTGTTCCTCATCAGGCTTGGTTTCCAGACCCTTGATCGTCTTGGTTGCCCTCCTCTGCCCACATTCTACCTTGCCAACATCCTTCTTAAATTGTGGTGCCCAGAATTGAACACAGTATTCCAGGTGTGGTCTGACCAAGGCAGAATAGACTGGGACTATTACTTCCCTTACGCGGGTGGCGCTGTGGGTTAAACCACAGAGCCTAGGACTTGCCAGTCAGAAGGTCGGCAGTTCGAATCCCCGCGACGGGGTGAGCTCCTGTTGCTCGGTCCCTGCTCCTGCCAACCTAGCAGTTCAAAAGCACGTCAAAGTGCAAGTAGATAAATAGGTACCGCTCCGGTGGGAAGGTAAACGGCGTTTCTGTGCGCTGCTCTGGTTCTCCAGAAGTGGCTTAGTCCTGCTGGCCACATGACCTGGAAGCTGTACGCCGGCTCCCTTGGCCAGTAAAGCGAGATGAGCGCCACAACCCCAGAGTCGGTCACGACTGGACCTAATGGTCAGGGGTCCCTTTACCTTTATTACTTCCCTTGATTGGACACTAAACTTCTGTTGATGCAGCCTAGAATAGCATTAGCTTCTTTTGCTGCTGCATCACACGGTTGACTTATGTTTAACTGGTGGTCCACCAAGACCCCTAGATACTTTCCACATGTGCTGCTAATAAGCCAGGTGTCCCCCATCCTATATTTGTGCATCTGGTTGTTCTTGCCTAAGTGCAGAACCTCACTCTTGTCCCTACTGAAACTCAGTTTGTAAGTTTTGGGCCCAGTTCTCCAATCTGTGAAGGTCATTTTGAATTCTGATTCTGTCTTCTGTGGCATTAGCTACCCCCACCAAGTTTGGTGTCACCTACATCCCCTCAGCTGCTTAACTGCCTCCCCCCATTTTATTCATGTTGGTACCCCTGTACTTAAGCTTTCGGAAATGAGCCTTCTGAAAGTGCAGAGTGCGTGCCTGTCTACACTCATCTTTCCCTTGCTTGTGTATAATGAAACCCAAGAAAACATGATCACTTCCCTACAAGATTCCTGGTGCTTCCACCTTGTGGATTGGTTCCTCTATGTTGGTGAGGACCAGGTCCAAGATAGATGACCCCCTTGTTGCTGCTTCTACCTTCTGGGATATGAAATTGTCAGCAAGGCAATGGAGGAATTTGTTGGATCTTACATTCTTGGCAGAGTTTGTGTTCCAACATATATTGGGGTAGTCAGAGTCTCCTATGACTACAATATCTTTCATTTTTGAATGCTTGGTAACCTGTTCTAGGAAGGCATCGTCTATAGCAGACACCGACAGTAAGATCAATGATGATTCTCTCTCCTACAATTTTTACCCATATACTCTCAATCTGCTTTTCATGCTCCAGGTCATGGATTTCTTCACAAGTGTACATATTCTTTACATTTAATGCTCCTCCTCCTCCCTTCCTGTTGATCTGTTTCTTTTGAGCTGGTCATACCCCTCAATTCCTACATTCCAGTCATTAGTCTTATCCCACCAGGTTTCAGTAATGTATATTAGGTCATATTTGCCAACCCGGAGTAAGTGATCAAATTTGTCTTGCTTGTTTCCCATACACTGTGCATTAGTATAGACACAGCTGAAATCACGAGTCCTTCCTCTGCACGCTGCTGCCTCTCTCTCCCTCAGTAGGGAGTCACCTGCCAGCACCACATTCCTCTTCCTTTTTCTGGGGAGCAGCAGGAACCTTTGTTTGTTCTGGGGTTTGAAACTACTGTACTTGCTCTCTTCTGGCCGAAAACCGGTGTCCGAGGTGAGGGCATGGAATCAGTTTTGTAGTTCCAGAGACACAGCAAGGCTCCAGACAGTTTTGCCTTTTTGGGTCACATTCCTCCAGGGTTGGGCGATCTTCTTTCTCCCTAGGGCACCCCACCTGCGACTCTTTTCCAGGTCAGTCCATTCCTGTCTAGTAAGAATTTCGTCATCTTGCCCGGTGCCTCGAAGTGTGAATAGGTGGGACTGAAGTCGCTGTACCTTCTCTTCCAGGAAAGCAACCACCTTGCCCTTGCTGCAGGTGTGGTTTTGCACGTTCTCAGGCAGGAAGACAAACATGGCACTCAAGTTGTGCATGCCACAACCCAATTGTCCTACATGCACCTTCAAGGCTTGGTTGCAAGAAATCAACAGGAGCCCTGTGAATATTGCTGAGCTTAGTGTCATAGAGACAGTATGGGATCAGGCCTGTTGTATTTTGTGTCCTAGGCCTGTTTTCCATGTGTTTATGTATGTTTGGGCCCTGCACCAGCCTTTTGGACTACAACTCCCATCAGCCCCAGCCAGTGCGCCAGGATGGGAATTGTAGCTTCTGCCAAGGGGTGATGTGTACCCCTTGATTCCTTTACCTTTGAATCTGGGAATCTGCTCTGTGTGTATTCAGGGTGATGTGAGGTCACACCCGTGCTGCCCAGTTCACATGCACAAGTCGACGCTTCTCTTTGCAGGCGCCCTAGTTTTGGAGTGTGCATGGATCATGGCCAATCCCCGAGCACACACACCCCCGTCGAAATAGAAGGATCCACACCCTTCCTTAGCGTGTGGGGCTGGTGGAAGCCCTGAGCTTTTCTTCCCAAATGCATAGCCATTCATCAGACCGTGTCTTGTTTCCTCAGCTCTGCATGTGGGCCAGTAGCCCAGGACTGCCTCTTCCAGCCGCTTCTGCTGTGTCTGATCTCGCACTCGTAACCAGGGTTGCGTCATGTGGGTCCTGTTTAGTGGAACCAGTTGAACCAGAAGACAGCTTTTGGGCAGGGGCGAGCCCCGGGCAAGCAGAAAGAGGTTGGAGAAAGTTCTGGGAACCAGACAGGCAGCTCTCACGTCGACTCCAGGACCATTTTAAATTTCCCTGCTTAGCTTGCTGCAAACAGGCAGTATCCCTGGTGTCCTCAATGGGCCGTCAGAATGATTTCCATGCCAGATCGATCAAGGCCCCGATTAATACCACAACTAGCTTTATGCCGCTGTAAGTTGGCTCTTTTCCCCGATGCGTACGAGGGTCCCCCACCCCAAATGCTCCAATCCTTTTCAGCAATGCAGGGGGTTGGACTAGATGACCGCTGGGGTCCCTTCCAACTCTACAATTCCATGAATTCCATGAACTCCTGGCTAGATTCTGAGTTGCCGCTTTGTGCGATCAGAATGGTTGTGTGGCTCTTCTTCCTTTCTTGTGGTGAGGTCTTTTGGGTGCAAGGCCGCAGATGTTTGTCGTTGGGCGGAATAAGAAGTTCGTCGCAAGAGGCTGTTGTCACCTGCTCCGTCACCAGCTCATCACCGGGTTTGGCAGCCCTCCATCCCCAACGCCAGTTGCCATGTTTAGCTAAGACGTGGCACATTCAGGACAGATAAAAGAAAAGGAAGTCCTTGCACATTGCATAGTTAATCTGTGGAACTCCCTCCCATAGGAGGCAGCCGTGGCTCCCAGCCTAGATGGCTTTAAAAGACGATTGGACAAATTCATGGAGGAGGCGAGGGCTATTGGTGGCTTCTAGCCACAATGGCTTTGCTCTACGCTTCACAGTCAGAGGCAGCGGTGCTTCTGAATCCCAGTTGCTGGAAACCACAGGAGGGGAGAGTTGCTCTTGTGGTCGGATCCTGCTTGTGGGTTTCCCATTGGGGCATCTTGACTTGGCAAGTGCATGTGTGAAAGGCCTCTGTTGAGTGGAAAGCTCCTCTGCTTGGGTTGCCACGATTCCTCTGCTTCAAAGAAGCTATCAAACTGGGGTATTTGATATTTAATGGGTGGCGCTGTGGGTTAAACCACAGAGCCTAGGACTTGCCGATCAGAAGGTTGGCGGTTCAAATCCCTGCAACGGGGTGATCTCCTGTTGCTCGGTCCCTGCTCCTGCCCACCTAGCTGTTCGAAAGCACGTCAAAGTGCAAGTAGATAAATAGGTACCACTCCGGCAGGAAGGTAAACGGCGTTTCCGTGCGCTGCTCTGGTTCGCCAGAAGCGGCTTAGTCATGCTGGCCACATGACCCGGAAGCTGTATGCCAGCTCCCTCGGCCAATAAAGCGAGATGAGCGCCACAACCCCAGAGTCGGCCACGACTGGACCTAATGGTCAGGCGTCCCTTTACCTTTACCACCACCAATAATAATAATAATAATAATAATAATAATAATAATAAATTTCATTTATAACCCGCCCTCCCCGCCAGATCTGGGCTCAGGGCAGCTGACACCAGTAAAATTACAGTAAAAACATAATAGGAAAAAAAAACCCAATTGGAAATACAGGTTAAAATGCAATTTAAAATGCAGCCTCATTTTAATATTAGCCCATAGATCAAAATCATAAGGGGAGGGAAACAGAAGGGTCAGACTGAGTCCAAACCAAAGGCCAGGCAGAACAGCTCCGTCTTGCAGGCCCTGCGGAAAGATGTCAAGTCCCGCAGGGCCCTAGTCTCTTGTGGCAGAGCGTTCCACCAAGTCGGGGCCAGTACTGAAAAGGCCCTGGCCCTAGTTGAGACCAATCTAACTACCTTGCGACCTGGGACCTCCAAAATGTTGTCATTTGTGGACCTTAAGGTCCTCCGCACCACATACCAGGAGAGGCGGTCCCGTAGGTACGTGGGTCCTAGGCCGCAATTTGCATCACCCCCATCTTTTCCTTTAGCTTACTGATCTGTGTGGATGACCCAGGAGTGTTGCTCTTTGCTATCTCCTTGGATATTTTGAATTTGCTCTTCTTTTTTGCAGTTCTTGTGAGATGTGGGTTCAGATCCTCCCTCTACCATGGTTTGGGTTTTGTGACCCCGGTTATTGCTGCATCTGTCAGCCTCGGTTTCCTTTCTGCGAATTATAGAAATGCGTCATGATGTTGCAGGAAGGAGCAAATTCCATACAGGTTAAAGGAAAATGCTT